GGAAAAGCTATTCTGGGGTTGAGAGACCTGGTTTCCCTCTCTCCCTTTGTTCCGGCTTCGTTCCTTCACACTTTCCTCGTGCCTGCAAAGTGGCTGCTGCAGCTCCAGCCCTTATGTCCTCTCAGCTTTGGATCCAGTGGAAAGCAAGTGTTCTTGCCTGTGATAATCGCATCCGTGTCCTGGGTCTGACACTCACTGGCTGGGATTGGGTCATGGGCAGCCTCTGAAGCAATCCTGGCACCTAGGGGTGAGATGCACTGATCGGCTTGGACCAATCAGGGCCCCCCCCGGATCTGAGGTTGGGTTTGACGCCCCCTCAGCCATCCCAGTGGAAGGGCAAGAGTGTGGCTCCTCAGAGAAACTTTGGGGTCTGTGTTACTGGAGGTGGGGTGTGTGGGTGCTAGGCAGAAAATAAATGCAAAAGCTACAGTATTATTTATTTCTCCTGGCGAGTCATGTGAGGCCTGAAGAGGTCAAGACTTGCCCAAGGTCACCAAGCTGGCCAGAGCTGTGGCAGTCATTATGTAGCCATGAGGGAATCTGGACCAGCGACGGAGCCAGCCCCGGGCCGAGTCTCTGCTTTGAGTAAGGGAGGCTGTCCCAGGGATCCCCGACTCTGCGCGGAGGGCCGTGGTGGCTGGAATTCGTTGCGGCCTCCCATAGTCTTTATCGGAGAAGTGAGTGGGAGTTGGGAGAGATTTGGGGCCCCTGGTTGTGTACTTCAAGGGGAGGTGACATAGACCTGGCATCAGCAGCCCCATAGGCAGAGCCGCCCCCTCGTCCAGAGCTCGGGTGGGTGCAGTGAGAATACTCGGGGAAGTGGTTGCCATGGCACCGAGCCCTTGCCGGGGGCGGACGTGGCCCCAGCTCATCGCATGTCTCATCTCATTTAATCCTCACGGCACCTCTTCGAAGTACATTGTCTTCATCTCATTTACAAATGAGGAAACTGAGGCTCACAGCATTGAAGGCACTTGTCTAGGGTCACTCAGTGGGTGGCCAGGGCCCAGATCATGATCATCTGAGTCCCTGACCAATCCAGTGGCCCCAAAGCTCTCCCTGGAAGCATTCTTTCATCACTGGGCCCACCCCCCACTTCTAGCCCCTGCCCCTACCTTGGGAGCCACGTACTGAGGTGCCACGTTCCCAAGGACATCCTTTATCCCAACCAGGGGACGGAGGGTCAGGGAAGGTGCCTGCAGGCAGCAGGGCCTGCTGGAGGCTCAGAGGGAACCTGGAGGCACCCAGGTGGGGGTGGGGGCGCAGGTAAGCAAGAGCATGGAGTCAGTGTGGACGTGTGGGGGCATCAAAGAGATGGAATGGCGCTCAGGGAAGGGGGAGGGGCGGTGGAGGGGTGGGGGCGGGGTCCCAGGTGGGCCTGGGCTTCACAGAGGCCACTGGGCGTTGGCCCAGGACCTTGAGAAACTTTGTGTCGACAAGGCTGGGTCCGCAGGTCTCAGCTGAGCCCCAGAGCTGCCAGTTCCGTGTCCTTCTGAGCGTGACAGGCCCTCGTTCTGTGTCCTCCCTCCCCACAGTCGCTGCCCAGCTCGCTGCTCGTCAAGCTGATTGAGGAGCGCCTGGGGGAGGACGACTGCGTCCAGCGGGTAAGCGCCCTGCGGGGAGCCAGCTCCGCACTCCGGGGGAGACGGGGCCCCGGGGCCCGGTCAAGGGAGGGGGAGGGCTGTGTATCCATGTCCTCAAGGGAGGTGACCGAAGGCTTCCGGGAAGGCTGACACAGACCAACCGGAACTTGGCGAAGCTCCGTCTGTGGGTGTGGATTTCACCTTGGATGGAGGAGAACTAAGGTGGAATCTGGGGTGTCCCTCGGGTGTCGGAAAGAGAGAGCCCATCCCAAGGGGTCATGGGAGGGCCCTTAATGAAAGGACAGGAGCAGAAGTGGCCGGGCAGACAGGCAGCCGCCGGCACCGGTAAAGCCACCGGAGACCAGGAGCGTGGGGAGCCGGACGCCCCTGCACCAGAGGGGCAGAAGGAGAACTCGGGGGGACCCCAAACTCTCCTCCCGTCCTCTGATCTGCCAGTGTCCCTTTGGAGGCTGAATCAATTGCCGTGGCCAGTGACTTAATCGATCACGTCTGAGTAAGGAAGCCTCCATCAGAGCCCCATAGGACTGGGTCCGGAGCGGTTCCGGATGCTGAGCATGTGAGGCGCTGGGGGCGCCGCACGCCCGCGGGCCCGGAAGCCCCACGCCCCTCCCCGGCCTGGTTCTGCGTCCCTCTGCCCGGCCGCGACCCAGGAGGACCTTTCTCTGCGTTCTGGGGGCCGCTCCAGTGAACTAACCGAGCATGGGGGCGGGAGCCCTGGGAACCTCCGGTTTCTAGCCGGGCGGTCAGACGCACATGACAGCCCGGACCCGCGACGGGCGTCTGAAGCGGGCCGGAGCCCTCAGCCCGTGGACCCGGACGCCGCCTCTGGGTGGGTGGTGTGGACTGAGTTGAGTTGCAGGACAGACAGCGGGTGGTGTCCTCTAGCATTGCTCGTTGGTGGTGTGGGACCCCCCACCCCCATCCCGCCAGCGCACTGACGTCGGCCTTGGCGACCGGACCCAAAGAGAGGGGTGGAGCGGGCGGGGCAGGCGGACAACCGCGCAGGGACTGCCGGCTGTGCGCCCACGGTGCCACTGAGGCGCTGCGTGCAGGGCGCCTGGGACCCCACGGGGCACTGCCCCGTCCGCACCGCCCCCTCCCCGCTCTGCAGAGGAGGGGACCGAGGCCCAGCGTGCGGCTGGCAAATGCGCCCCCAGTCTGCAGCCAGCCTCATGGTTCTCTGCCGGCGTGTCTCGTGGAGCAGGTGCTGTACCAGTTATTCAGACTATTTGTAGTGTCGGTTATTTGAACTTTTTTTAGTATTCCATTTAAATTTATTTTTTTTACTGTATCTCTTTGTAAAGTTTTTTTTTTTTTAGCGAATGACCTAGCAATTACAATATGCAGACTTACCTTTCCACAGTCTATTTCGAGTCAGTATTTTCCTGCTTCGAGCAGAATGTGCCGTTTTAGGTCCCTGTCCCTCCTTTTCTGTGTGGCCTTAGGTGTACATCTCCGTAGGCTGAAAGCTCCATTGGGCAGGGTTACAGTTTTGGCTTTCAATCATCAAATGTATTTTAAAGAACTCGAGAAGAGTCTGTTATATCTATCCAGATATTTATCATTTCCATTGCTCTTCCTTCATTCCTCATGTTCCAAATGGCCCTTTCTGTCTGAAAAACCTGTTTTAGCAATTTTTTTTTCTTTAAGCCTGTAGCACCGGGTCTTCCTAGGCGGTCTCCCATCCAAGTATTAACCAGGCCCGACCCTGCTTAGCTTCTGAGAGCAGACGGGATCGGGCACGGTCAGGGTGGCGTGGCCGCAGACTAGAATTTTTTCAGAGGAGGTCTGCAGGCACTGACTTCTCTCGATTGTCCTTCATCTGAGAATGTTTTTATTTTGCCTTCATTCTTGAAGGATATTTTTTGCTGGATTTAGAATATTCTAGATTGACAGTTTTTTCTTTCAGCGCTTTACAAATGTTCCGCTTACTTTTGACCCCTGTGGCTTCTGGTGGAAAAATCCATAGTCACCCAAACGCTTTTAAGTAATGCATCATTTTTCCCTTGCTACTTTCGAGGTTTTCTTTGTTTTTAATTTTCAGCAGTTTAATTATGGTAACATCTGGGCATGAATTTCTTTGGATTTACTCTTTTTGGGATTTGTTTAGCTCCTTGAATTTACAAGTTAACATGTTTCTCCAAACCTGGGAAGTTTTCCGCCGTTATTTC